TATACGAAGATAAGAGAATATGGCAGTCATTTAATTATGGCCTTTTTCATCGAAACAGAATCTGTGATAGCAATTTAATTTTACGTTAAATTGCACAAGAAAAGCTAATATTTGTCGAAGCCGATTTTTAAAATATCAATTTTTTAAAAAAGTGACAACTAACTTGAACGTGTAATTTTCGTCATAAATTTTCGACCTCTTTTGTTAATAACAAAGAAAAAGATGCGCAGATCAAAATTTCACTTCGTTATGTTGTTCACTCAACAACCTTGAGAATATTACTACAAATTTTTTGTTTAAATTGATTCGGTAATTGATTCAAATATTTCTGGTATTTCCGGATTTTGAAAACCTCATTCCCAGAAGAGAACGTTTCCTAAAGTTTCAGTCATCTGTTACCATTAGATGTTGACAAGAACTCTAAGTTGATTATTTTCTAGAGTATTCTAGAGGAATCGTAAGATTACACAATTTTTGAAACATCGATCTTTTTTTTTCGACCACCTTGTCAAAGATAAAGCCTCAAATCAAGTATGAATTTTGCCCAGCGGCAAGATATTCTCGATCTGTTCATTGCACCAGCGGTGAACTAGTGTTCATCGAACCGAAGACGAGAATGAGAAAGAGAGAAGGTTCGATCCGGATCTTCGTGAATCTTTCAACGAAATTACACCGGTTAGTCGTAAAGTCTCGGTGCTCGCCACGATCCCAGCCACTTTGCAAACACGAAGAACAGCAGCGCGAGATGTAAGTGCAGACTGGAACGAAGGGGGCAGGGAGGCCTCGTTCACTTTCAAGCGGCACCAGCCGAGAAGCACGTGCCAGAGAGAGAAAGACGACGCCACGGGGCGGAAACCCTGACCCTTGACAATCCGCCCCTGCGCGACTCGCCGACGCTTCGAACGCTGCTGAATCGTTCCACAGAATTGCGTCAGGACTTGGTACCAATTAGTTGGCCAACAATGTGTGTCGTTTTTGAGAGGATGCACGGTCGGTTCCTGGGTCCCAAAAAACGTCTGGACGTGTTACGAGACATTGTGCAACCTCCAGATCCGGTTACCGATGGAAAACACTCTCGATTTCGCGACTCGATCACGTTGGATCATGTTGATCGTGCACGATGTTTCAACGAGTCGAGAAATATTTGGCTATGTATGTTCGAAAATTATTGTTGAATTTAAATTAGATTTAATTAGTATGTCTATTTCGAAGAATTAACAAAATACGATGCAAATTATAGTTTATATAATAAATAAATATTCACGAACGTGACTGAAGAAACGGAATTGAAATGGAAATTTGTTTCAGCTGCCGCCATATTGTATATACTTCGATTTGCATGTTTTTTATATTTTATGACGTACTCTGTGTGTTTTATAGATTTTCCAAAAATACATAAACATCCTCTAACATTTAATATCTAATATCTAATCTAATAAAAGATGTAAGAAGCGCATATATGTCGTTTAATAAACATTTCTTGCAATAATAAAAATGAATTAGTAATGAAAGAACAATATCAAGTCATAGTTTATAAAGGACTTTTGAATATGTAACAAAAATAACTGCATGACATACATTTATACGTAAGTATGTAAATCTAATAGGCATTGCACAATTCGATCGGCACACGGTAGCTCAAGAAATGTCTACTTCCTTCATGAATTGTACTTCGATATCTATCAGAATATTATAACACGAGCCAACTGGTTCGTTCAACGTTTCGAAAGGGTGGGATCGATGAACGAGATCTTGGCAGTACCCTAATTTCAGCGAGGTATTAATTACAAGAGCGTACTGCATGCGATCATTAACTCGCGCTATGCAGCCCCACGGTTTCGAGGAACTCGCGGTTTGGAGGGTTTCCGGAACGATCGATCCACCGTTTTCGAATGCTTGCCATCGACGGCGCGTCTCCTGTTTTCGAGCCTACTTCGTAGACATCTGCTTTCTTCCAAAATTCGAACGTGCCTGGATCATTTTGCTGAATGTGAATGATTTGATTGAATGGTGTATTTGCGCATGAAGGATTTTATTTGCCACGGAAAAGATAGAAATAAAAAGTCTCCTAAGGACTGCGTCAATGCAACGTTTTATTTGCAATTCTTATTAATCAGTCTATAATTATCAGATTCTATCGAGGTTATGAAAAGAAATTCCAAGAATTCGCTTAATATTTCTTCATCTTTCTTGGAGTATACAATTATCTGTATATATCGTGACAGATTCCCGCTTGTTTTTTTAATAAGTTACAGGCTTTTCGCCTCATCGCTATGAAATATACGA